GTGTGTGTGTGTGTGTGTGTGTGTGTGTGTGTGTGTATCTCAGAGCTGTCAGCTTGGTCACCCAGCTGGTATGAGATTTGGACAGCAGTGGAAATGTACAAGAACCATTACCCCTTACTCAACATAATAGTTCCCTGAGCAAAAACTATGAACAAACAAAGCAATAGGTGCCAACATCCATTAAAGTAATTCTGGGAAAATGTGACGTTCTGTGACTTAAAACCAACCCAATAGACTGGACTAAATGGTTTGTATTTCTTTGTAATACACACAAACACACAAACACTCTCATACACATTCTATGTAGCCGAGTGGTTCTTAACTTTGTTAGAGGTACCGAACCCAACCAGTTCATATGCACATTCACCGAACACTTCATTAGTGAAAAACAAAAATATGACTTTTTACAAATTCAAAACATAAAAAAATAATTAAAAAAAATATTAAAATCAGAAAAAAGTAAATAAGACATTTTTTTTGTTTGTTTTGTATTTTAATGATACGACATACTATCACGACAGTCACACGTTCACTACTGAGCGAAGTAAATTTCCCGCAGCACTGATTGGACAAGCAATGTAATGTGATCATCTGCAGCCAGTGATGGCCAAGCGGGTGTGTCATAACTAATTGACATCTTGAGTTGGGTGTGTCTTAACCTCCATAGCAGAGGCTCTATCGAACCCCTGAGACCAATTCACCGAACCCTTGGGGTTCAATCGAACCCAGGTTAAGAACCACTGATGTAGACCGCCACCTTTGCCTCTTTAAGTGTCCCTTGGAGTGCGTAAAGTGATTATAGTTGAAATGTCTTATGTAACAGGCGTTCTTTTACAAAGTCATACTAAAAGAATAAAGTTTGAACAGCGCTTGTCAATCTGAAAACAGGTCAGTGATACATCATTTCATTCCAAGATAAATGATTCTGTCTCCAGAGAACAAACATTGTTGGTGTAAATCCCCCACCTCAAAAGCCTTTAAATAAATATGGGGGCATGTCTCAGCCAGTGAATGTTTAGAGTAACAATTTGACTCATTTTGGGGTGACACAACAATCGCAATCAGCCATATATGTTCAGAGCTTGGACACATTTAATACAGTTTGACATGTGTCAGTGCTCTCATCTGTAGCCCTATTTTCAGACTTTCCATAAAACCACATGCGTAGTTGCAACAACCGCATTGCGTTTTCACCAGAAATCACCCACCACGAGTGAAATCAACCATTATAAGACTGTACTATTGTTATTTTTAAACTTTATTGATTGCATGAAAATTCTTGAGTTTTGAGGAAGTAGTTTTCTTCCGTGTCTGTGAACTGATGCCTTATAATTTGTTTAGTTGGGTCTTTGGAGGTATGCTGCTATTAATAATCACTGTATCAGCTGTGACGAGGTTTGTGAACAAACCAAATGATGTTTGGATCCCAGAAATGTTGACACAGATAAAATGCACAACGCAAATGTTTATTTTTAGAAAATCAATGGACCCACAAAATACAAACAGAAATAATTGCCAATAAAGAGCCAGAAAAATAAAGATATGAACCAAACTGTCAGGTGCTCCGGTCGCATGTCAAAGGAAATGCCATCACAATACCCGATACGGTGCCGAGAGGTGAACCAAATTCACGCACAAGCGCATCGAGGCTTGCACAAAATTCAGTACACACCAGTTTATACGCTTGCTAGTCTACAACTATAGAGCCCTTACTGTATGTAGACTGTATTTCAAGGTTGCGCTTCAATGTAGCGATGAGCTACGTTTATTCTTGGCACAATGCACAGTCGGCACAAGAAGCTAGCTAGCTTTTGTCCTCACACATTTACCACATACTGTGTTAGTATGTAGTGTCGCGAGAAAACCTGGCACTGAGGGCTTTAGTATCGGCCGAGTAAAAATGAAGGATTGCGACAGCAATAAACACAGTTATAAGATACGATAAGAAAACCTTTATTTGTCTCACAATGGAGAAATTCCCAAATGCGGTCAACTTTACCTTTTCACTGCCACATGCATTCCATTAATCCAAAAATGTGGTCCGTGGTGAAATCTGCATCAATTGCAGAACGTTTAAATAAAAACAAGTGTCACTTGTTTTTTTAAATTTTTTTTTTTAATTTAACAATGAGACGTGGACAGAAGGAATGCATGTTTGTTGTGTGACGGAATGTGTGTGTGTGTGTGTGTGTGTGTGTGTGTGTGTGTGTGTGTGTGTGTGTGTGTGTGTGTGTGTGTGTGTGTGTGTGTGTGTGTGTGTGTGTGTGTGTTTTGTGATTGGAAAGAGCAGGCCAGTGGCCTTGGACAAAAATAAACTATCCTACTATGTAGTGCAACAGCATTCTTTACCCAACATGAGTGTACTTACTCGTTGCACTCTCTGCAATGAGGAAACCGTTCACCCCATCACCTTATGACGACAACACAGACTCACAACTTGCCAGATTTCCAACCCAATCTTGTGCTTTCTCACAGCCCCCTTACACACACTCACAACACCCCCACAACCATAACGCATACTCTTCCCACCTCCTCACTGTTACCATCCATGTGTCATCGACTGTTGCTAAGATACAGGCCTCCACCAAGTTTTGTTTTTTTTGTTTTTTCACCAATGGTTTTGACAGCGACCCCTTTCTGTAGGATCCCTTTTTTTCTGAATTTGCCAATGTCTACAACAGGTACTCATCTAGTTGCTGCCATGTTAGCTCACTCGCTCACTGCTGCATCCCTTTTCATATCTTCACCAAGACATTACCCATAATGGATTACATGGAATGGAAGATTGAGGAACAAACAACAGATTTAATTTGACGAAATGCAAAATGCAATCAGCAGTGGGATCTTCAAAAAGCATACATTTTGATTTTGGGGGGGGCGGGCGAAAAATTTTGAAATAAATTAGATAAAAGCTGGAGTACGCGGTCTGTACGTTGCATATTTATGCATACATGTATGAGGTGGCACTCAGTGTGTGCATGCTAAGCGACATGAGTATTTTTACGCTTTAGTTCACATACAGGGAAATTATACACACACACAACACAGGACACGGTGGTGAATACAGTGGAGGCTGACAGGGTAATCTGTCTCCATTGTGGGATGTAAAGTACTCTAGGGAAGCACACACACACACACGTGCACTCATTTTCTAACGAAGTGTTCTCACAACTCAGAGCCAAATCTTTTTTTTTTTCCCCCACTTCCAATCATCAATCCATTGGTCTACTCCGTGTTCTGTTAGTTATCAGAGACCTCTGTGTTTGAACAAAATTGGGTTGGTGGGGCTTATTGCTACATTGTATCCAGCTACATTCTGCAATTAACTGTCCCCCATTTCCAATCATCAATCCATTGGTCTACTCTGTGTTCTGTTAGTTATCAGAGACCTCTGAGTTTGAACAAAATTGGGTTGGTGGGGCTTATTGGGGGATTCCCCTACATTGTATCCAGCTACATTCTGCAATTAACTGTATTGTTAAGCCACACAGAAGCAAAAAAAAAAAAAAAAGACAAGGATCTTTGTCATGCCTAGTTACCAACTTCCTGACTTCCTCATAAGTATGGATTGGGGAATTATTTCATTATGACTTAAATGGGGAGTAAAAGAAGTTCAAATTCTGAACTGTAGGCTTTAAAATTCTATTTGCAGGTCCATCCATCCACTTTCTCTACCACTCACTATTGTCAGAGTCACCCTTGCAAATTTAAGGGCGAGAAGCACCGTACATCATAAACAGATGTGTTGGATTTCCTCAAGTGATCTAAACATAAAATGCTGTATCCTTATTTCATTCTTTCTTCCAGTCCCCGTTTTTCATGCGGATGATCATGGAACGGCTGTGGTTGTCTTTGCTGTTGCTGGCAGCAGCGTGCAAGGGACAACAGTGTCCGAAACGTTGTATGTGCCAGAGTCTGTCGCCATCGCTCGCTATCCTGTGCTCGAAAACAGGCTTGCTATTTGTTCCTCTTGCTATCGATCGACGTACCGTGGAGCTTCGGCTTCAAGAGAACTTCATCACAGGTAGTGCGGCAACATTATTTCATTCGTACAATTCAGTCATTATATTAGGGGATGCATTGTTGCTCAAACACCGGCATAATGAACAGTCGCTGTATTAGGAATGTACAAAGTCAACTGATTGTTTTAGTACACGCAGTACAGTCGCCAAAGAAACATAGTTTGGCCTGTTCCTTGATAGTAGCTGATTACATTGGTGACTAAAATGACGCTCAGTATCTTTCTTGCTTCATACTTGAAAGTATCACTCACTATCCATCACTACATACATGTAGATGGGCGGAGCTCAGAAAGTGTAGTCAAACAGGATGATCAAAAGCTGACCCACTACACTTTACAATGAATCACCAGATGTCATTGCTTACAGTCAAAAGCTGACCCACTTCAAGAGTCATTATTTTCCTTCACTTTACAATGAATCACCAGATGTCATTGCTTACAATGCTGCAGACGTACTATCTATCGACTGAAAATAAACAACCTGACTGAAATTTAGTTTGCAGACGCTTGCAGTGGAGACATTAACGTACACAAATATTACCCCCATGCCTCCCTACTACGGCGACACCTTCACCGAGCAACAATGTGTTTCTTATTAGAAGCAAATAGTCAGAGCAGTAATCTCAGCAACATTCACCGCAGCACTACTAACCTTTGGGCTTTGATAGAGTGTTTCAGAAGTGGCAGATCTTTGACCAGCCTAGTTACCAAGTCATTGTCAGAAAATCTCTGCGTGTGGTGAAATTCAGAACACCTCCCACACAGACAAATTTTGTCAACTGCCGGAGAACCAAATATTTACTTGGTTGTTTACACTTGAAGGGAAGGCACTCCAGAGACGAAACTAATTGTATACAAGCAATTAAAAACCCATTTATTTTCTTTTATGACTTTAAGGCGCTGTATATTCACTATTTTTGTGTCTGCTCTTTTCCAGCTGTCAGAAGGAAAGACTTTGCCAACATGACCAGCCTGTTACACTTGACGCTGTCCAGAAATACCATCAGTCAGATCCTTCCTTCAGCTTTCAGTGACCTGCGGCGATTAAGAGCGCTCCATTTAGACTCAAATAGGTTAACTGTTATTAAGGTAAACTCAATGGACGGCTTAATTTTGCTTTGAGTTAAGATATTAGATTTGGAATCTTGAAGTTGCACACAAACATGTAATTGGGTTGTTATACCGATAACTGAACAAGATTAACAGTTCATCTATGCTTGTTTTAGTTTCCTTCACAATTCGTTAATCTAATTTTGGGATTGGATTCATAAGCATTTGATCGGGATCATTGGCTCAGAATATATTGGAGGAGCGTGTATCACGAGCTGAAAGTGGGTGTAAAAGTAAATTGAGAATGCTCGGGAAGAGAGGTGGAATTGGTCATAATAGGTCAAAAGGTGATCTACGAAGTAATTTTAGGCTGTGCTTGCACTTGAAGTTAGGTAGTCTGATCCAGACCAAAGGACTTTTGAGTCTCACAACAGAATTCTGCCCCCTGTGGTAATCTGCTTATATTGCTATTTTTACCAGCTGATATTTTTTTTTTCATTGTGCATACATCTTCGCATATAGCATTGAAAATGGATGGATGGATGGATGGATTTTGGTGTTATTAAAATTTTGGTCAATGCAGCTTTCGCACTTGAGAGCCAAATTAAACCATCCAATTTTTGCTTGCAAATAGACTGAAGCTAGTGTTCAGAAAATAAAAAGTTACCGGTAATGCTCGATCGACTTTGAACAAATTTATTTTAACTGAAGTGACCACAGCCTTAGGAGTCAAGTGCCACTCAAGCACAGCATTAAAACCTAACCCGAAGCAGGAACATGCAAATTGAGGGCTTTACAAACGCTAATAAATCCATTCAAGCTCGTATTATTTTTTGGACATGTTTGAAATAAAAACATATTGAAGACTTTTTGTATGTATTCATTTATTTTTGCCTCTTTTAGGACGATCATTTCAACGGCCTCACCAACCTTCGCCATCTAATTTTGGCCAATAACCAGCTTCACTCCATATCTCCCCATGCTTTTGATGACTTCCTGTCCACACTAGAGGATTTGGACCTCAGCTACAATAACCTTGCACAAGTTCCTTGGGACACAATTGGACGCCTAACAAATGTCAATACCTTAAATATGGATCATAACCTCATTGACAATGTTCCCCAAGGAGTTTTCACCAATCTACACAAACTTGCCAGGTAAAAAAATATATATAATTAAAAAAAAAAATCACTATGTAAATGTAGTAGTAAGATACTTTAAGGTTCCCATTCTCATAGCAAATAGAAAGAATAAATGACTTTGGACCAGTGAACATCTCTTTCCTCTTTATCTCTGACCATCAAACCATTTTTACAGGCTGGACATGACATCCAACAAACTGAAAAAAATTCCTCCTGACCCTCTGTTCCTGAGAATCCCAGTCTATGCAAAATCCAAAGGCAGCCCCTTGTCATCCTTAGTTTTGAGTTTTGGTGGAAACCCTCTCCATTGCAATTGTGAACTTCTGTGGTTGAGGAGGCTGACCCGAGAGGATGACTTGGAGACGTGCGCTTCGCCCCCAGACCTGAGTGCCAAATACTTCTGGACAATATCTGAAGAGGTGAGATTGTAGTCCGTCAATAAATAAATTAAATACTTCAAAATAAATTGGAGAACATATGATTAAAATACTCTGCTTTCTCCCTCTTTAGGAATTTATTTGTGATCCGCCAGTGTTAACTCGCAAGTCACCTCAGACTGTGACTATGGAGGGCCAGCCAGCCAGTCTCAAATGTAAAGCAAATGGGGATCCAGAACCAGACGTCCACTGGATCAGTCCCGAAGGGCGACTTATCTCGAATGGCACAAGGTATTTACATGAGGTTCATAAGGTTATAGATGGTCCGCAGTCATTCATCTCTTCTTCATTTTCGTTGGCATCTCCGGTAAAAGTAAATCCAAATGAAAGATAGCTTTCGTTGTATTACCTAGCGCCAGAAACTTCGCTTGTCTCGAAGCACAAGGCCATTCGCTAGCTGCTGCTGCTACCTACCGGTATGGAAGAGGACTACATGATTAATCTGCCAGGCGATAGACCGCACACGCATACAAATTGGATAATTTCCCACGGCACACCTGAAAATATCTCAGGTGTGCCGCGGCACGGTGTTTGAAAAACACTGACAGAGAGGATGTGCCTTGTAAACTAAACAGTATTCAGTATGTTAATTAATGCTTTTCACAGAAAGTTAGCTGAGATAGACTGAGGCATGGGCAAATTACAGGTTTACCTTGCTTTTCAAAAGTCAGGCTTTGAATAACCGTGAATACTGGCTGTCACGGGTAATGCGCTCTTCTTTTCTTTTTTGAGGGGCTGGAAATGATTGGCTGCTTGCAAAGATGAATGAAAGACTAACTTTTGTTCCCGCCGTCTTCGCAAGCGGTTACGCATGCAGGAGGACAAACATTTGAATATTCCTTCATGATTTCTTTCAGAACATTGGTTTTCCCAAATGGAAGCTTGGAGATCAACGTCACCTCTCTGAAGGATGCAGGGAACTTCACCTGCATTGCCTCTAACGCGGCGGGCGAATCAACAGGACGAGTGGAACTGCTCGTTACACCAATGCCCCATCTGGCAAACAGCACAAGCCGTAGCAGAGACCCATCGGAGACCAGAGAGCCCGCTCCTTCTGACATTCTAACCTCATCAAAAGTCTTAATGCCAAACAATGAGACCCGAGCAGGAGATCGCAGGGTTTCCTTGGTGGAGCTGACAGGAAACTCTGCCCTCATTAGATGGAGTAGTCAAACAACTATGTCAGGCATCAGGATGTTCCAGGTCCAGTACAACAGCTCAGGGGATGACACACTGGTGTACAGGTTAGTCTGTCTGCATGTCTAAATGTCTGGGCATATCAGGTCTTACTGCGGGGGTCGGCAATCCGTGGCTCAAGGCAAACATTGCCTTGATTTTAGTGAGCTGAGTACACATTCATAGCAATTGATGAAACTGCTAAAACCGCGTTTCAATGTACGTTTGGTCAATTTTTTACTCTTACTTTCTGTTTACTGCTTCTTCTTTCATTTATTGGTGGATTCTGTTTATTTCAAGTTTCCAAGCAAGGTTAAAAGGAGGAGTCCGATTGGCTAGAGTCGCGCACATTTCCCACGTCACGTATGATGGAGTAAATTTGCTCACAGCTGGCAGGTCTGTCTCTGTGCGGCTCGGTCCCAAACGGCCCGAGGCCCGGTACCAGTCCGCGGACCATTGGTTGGGGTCCACTGCATTAGAGGATGGATGCTTTTTTGGAGTCTGTCTTTGCTCAATATCCATTAGCAGAATGATGAAAAGATGGCAGGGAACAAAAGTGTAATGGGGGAGAGAGGGCATGAAAACATGGATATCGTATTTTGGTGTTCAAAACAGAAACTACTCGTGAGTCCAGGGTTTTGTTTGTCTGCTGAAACAAATACAGTCAGACATCATGATATAATCTCTTCCTTCTCAGAATGTTTGTAAAAGGACAACGTTGCTATAGCCATTGTGTATTTGTCTAAATTGACATGTAAACTATTTGTTGAAAGAATGTTATTGTGTGGATAGGCTTTTGCTAACTCTCCTTCCTTGAAAAAAAAAATCAATTCCATTTAAAGAGATGGAGCTGTGTGTGTGCGTGTGTGTGCATGTATGTGGTCGTGTGGTCGTGTGGTATCACCAATCTAGCGTAAAGAAGAAATGTTACAAGCCATACTAACAGGCTGAACCATGTTATTCTCAATGCCTCCAGTGACAGCAATCCACTGCATGAGTCGTCTTTTATGCAATTTGTGAAGTTAAAACCGGGGTTTGAAATCAACAGATACATTTTAATAAGGCCTATTAAACTCTGTGTCACTCCAGTATTGGTCAGTATATGAACATATTAATAAAAATATAAATGTATACATTTTGAGATGAGTAGTCCAGTCACATCAGTCACATCACATTTGTGGCATCCAGCAACACTCTGCCCGTTACTCTTCACAATTCATGCAAATGTCAGTCTGAGACAAAAAAAAAAAATGCTTGTAGTTTGTTACAGCCATGACCAACAGCGACTCCCAAACAGGTAGAGGCGCGACAAGTTTGTAAAGGAAGCTGAATTGATGAAGGTGAAATGAACCCCGATTACTGCACGGGAACTTATGTTAGGATAAATTATATATGATGAATATGAACCAGTTATAATCCAAGTATGCTACAGAGCTCCTAATGAAGTAGGGTTCGATATAATGAAATGTATCAGATATGTTCTATTTTGGCAACTTCTTTGATAGGAGAGAATGCAAAGTTTCCTTATTAATGACCAAAGCTTAATGACTCTTAAACTGAACAGGCATGGCATCAAATAGGTCAAGGTATCTTCTTTCATCCGCTTTGCAAGCATGTTCAAACCTTATTACCGACAACATCACAAGGGGCTTCATCCGGACTGCTCACATTACTTCCCGGTGGTAGATTGTGCACATTGCAGGCGCTGCTGAGAGCAGTCTTCCATGAAATCCACCCGCATTGCATTGCCCAAAGTGGTGATGTTAATTAAAACGAGTGACATCTGTATGTGAGTGTGTATGCGTGTGTGCTGGTGGGTGATAACTTAGTCTCTAAGGGGATAACGTTGGAGCTGGTGATGAAGTAGAGGATGCGTGTTGTGGTTTGTCTGTGTGTGTGTGGAGGGGCGAGGGAAAATATTTCTGTCAGTGTACAGTAGGGAGTTGCATGTAGTATTCTTGACTTATATTAATGGGCGGGGGATATGAATTACAGCCCATTTTTAATTCATGTTTGAAGACAATCGGGAAACATTTAGCAATGTTAAATGGGTAGTAAGAAATTATGTCCATTTTGTAGATTCATGAGGACTACTGAGATCCATTCACACAGACACGCAAATCTTTTTTTTTTCCCCGTTTCCCCTACCACTCCACGCGGTCGACTTGGAACCCAGTCCGCGGACTACCGATCGACCGCGATTGACTGGTTGGGCACACTTACTAAAATTTTTTAAGAGAGCACTTCAACAGTTTATCCTTGGCCGGTGCCCAACATTTGTAGAAAGGAAGTTGTATGGTGTCATTTTTCAAACACACCAACGTGTATAAGCACCGAATATTATCAACTGTTCGGCTCTGGCCGATGTACTTCTTGAATTCTCTTGGTATGTAGCAGCATGACTCACTTCATGCTCACCTAAGCCAAAATAAGGAACACATGCACAAACCAACGTGGACACACAGTGCTGTATTTTTGGCTATTTTTCACGCTGTGTGTGTTTTAGTGCTCATTGTGTCTTCCACTCCCTGCCTAGAAGATGTTTCCTCTCAAACAGTTTTCCTGCCTCACACATCTTGTTCTCCCTGTGTGTTCTCCTTTCATTTGGCGGTTGGCTTTCCATACTTTTCAGTCATGTTTCATGGCTTCTCATCTGTTTGGTCTTTCATCTCCCTTGTCCTGCATTCACATTTCCTCTCTGCTCTTGGAGGATTGCTGAACGCAGCAGAAAGCCATAATCCGCTTGTTTTGCACCTTGCTTCTGTATTCATCATTGTCCCAAATCGATGTTGAATTATCCAGTGACATGACCGCCGCTACTGTAACCCTTCAGCTCCCTACTCATCTGTCCATTAAGTACCCAGCCCCTACCCAGCCTTCAGACCCTCATGGATGGATTATCTGGGCATCGCATGCGGGTGCCAAAATGGAGGAGAGAAGGAAAGGAAGAAAAGAGGGGTGAAGAGAGTAGATGGAGAGAGGACGAAAGGGAAGATGATGTATCTTAAAGAGCGTACAAGGGGAGGAGAAGATGACACATTAGTTCGGGAATTAAAGAGGATTTGCATGGTAAATAAGGATAATAGATGATCTCTCTTAGCTCCCACAACTCTCAATAAAACATAAGCAAGTATGACCGCTTTCATGTATTTTTTAACTTGAAGCGTACAACAGTATTGATAATGGGCTTTGAGAAAAGGCTTGTATGTCATGGAAAAGATTCATTCTGTTCCTGTTGGTATGGATATGAAACCCAGCACTGGTTGCACTGCTTCGCTCTGTGTCCCTTTCTATCTTTTTTTAACATTCACTGTCACTCCCTTTGTTTGATCGCTCCATTATTCATGCGCTTGTGCTCCAACTCCATTCTCTGGTTTCTTTTCTGTGTCCTTTATTCCAAGATCCACTCTAAAAATACACATATGCAAGCCTTTATGCATAATCGCAAATTATATTGTCATGGTTTTCTTTTAATGGGGTTAGCATTATGGGTTTTCAATCAGTGGGAGTTTTTACATCGACGTTTCATTTTCTCTGTTAAAAGCTTTTACCTTTCCTCGTCTTTAAGTAGCGTTTCAATTGTCGTTTTTTTTTTTAATATATTTATGCTGTCTTTGCTAAGGGTTGAAGTTAAACAGACAGCCACATCTTGGATTGGATTGGATTGCTTTATTGTCATTACACATTCGTGCAACGAAATTTTCTTAACAGGCACGCTCTGCACAAGAAACATGAAAAAAAACAATGACAAACATGGGATACAGTGCAAAGGGCCTGTCGGTACTCGCTATGTAAAGCGCCCCGAGATCTTAGTACAGGAAAGGAAACCACTAGGAAGGGAGAGGTTTAAAAAAACCATGCTCAAACTATCCTCTTTCTGAGGATAATTTGGGTCTAGGAGAAAAAAAAAACCTAAGCACAGAAACAAGCATATGACAGTTACAGCAAGTCACAAGACATAACATGTAATGAGGGGATGGGTGGAAACGGGGTTGGGGGGGCGCCACGCGGCCTGTCCGACCAGCTGCTCAGCCAATCGGCGAGCGCTCC